GTGATACGACTAGGTTGCGGTAGTAATCCACGATCTCTTCACGATCCTAAAACGGACGCGTGGAAGGTTGTCTAGCCTAGATTAGTAGCGTGGAAGTACTCCACGCTGGCTAAATCTAGAGCGATGTTTCATCATCAACCTAGTAGACTAGCGCGGTCATTGTGAACCCTGTCTCAAATGACTATTACAGAGAGACTCAGTCATGAGTCGAACTCAAAACCTATCTAGGATCGAGTCGCGAATAAGGCTAAGAGCCGTGTATTGCATTCGCCCCCTGACAAGGGTCACAGAAGGCGACACAGTCGGACAAGGAGAACAATATGATTTAAAGTGCGGGGCACTCTCATGAGATTGGATGTAGACATGTGCGTCGCACGATGGAATCCTACAAGGGGATCAGGCCTTGTATGGGTGTTAATACCTTATGTTCCAATCTGGTAGACTGTGCCGCCGTTGGCGGTAGCATGTTGGAGCCGTACAGTGCCGTTTTTATTGACTCGGTCTATAGTTTAAGGACCTTTGTACTTTGGCTGACCGTACTTGCGGTGCTAATACTGTTGAATCATCCGGTATCGTTGACATTGTATTGATGAGGGACACGCGTCATCAAACTTCATAGTCTCCCGTGGGAGCCAGATCTACGATCCCTTGATGATATCTCTCTCGTTGATTAGTTTTCATAGCTTTCTAATCTCTCTCATTAACTTTCATTCTCTCAAACTCAAAACACTCGAAAGATCTTTACACTAGCTTTTAGACGTAGTGCACTTGTGTATGCTTAGATGAGTGCACTGAGTTAGTACAATCGCTGGAAAGTATCTCGTGAAGTTAAGTCCGTTGTTTTTCGTTTTAACCGGGGGATTTTTGTCTTCACTTCACAATAGCACTGTTGACTCGTATCAACCTATCTCGCTCAATTTTTTGGAGTTAGAAGCTTGCAGTGATATCAGAGTGCGGTAGAGGTCTCTATCGATCGATGTATGGTACCTTTGCTTGCAACGCCTGTGTCAAGACCTATCTTGATCCCCGTTCAATGGCTTCTGCTCGTCGTGATGTGATGGATTAAAATCTCGCGCGATGACACGATGACGTAATCCGCTTCAACCGATGAATAACAGCCGGATTTCCTTGCTTCCAGCGGACAATCGTGTAGCTTGTTCTCCTTGATCAGCTGGTGTACGTAGATTTCTCCAGTTCCGGCCGGAAACTGTACGATCGATCGTGACTCCGAATGGGATTGAGATGGGAATTCCTGCGCACGCACCTCAATCTGTTAGAGCTGTTTCGATGCTCTTATAGTGTGGATAAAGCCCTGATTCTGCGCACCTCTTCTGTGTTGCAGTGTTAACTCACTTCAAGTCAATTGAACTGATGTCTTTGACTTGGTTTACCTGATATCGATCTCGAGATCGGTTAGTAGTAACTCGAGATGGCCTTTTGCTTTTCAGTGTTGTTTGCTAGTAATACTGCAGCTTATTGGGGAGTAATTTGGTTTTAGATTAAGCTGAAAAGCAAAAGTGAGGATTTTCTGGTGGTGCATAGCAATTCTTTGATTGAATTGGATATAAGGACCCCGCCCCCGTAACACTTTAGACCTAAAACTCCCTTGGTTCCTTGCATCATGAATTTGCATGCGAACCGGACTAGATGTTTAATACACGAGTCAATAGTAAAGAGGTGTCAGGTATATTTCCTCCAACATGCGGGTGGGAGGAGCGGGGGTTAGGTTGCGGGCAGTAGGCTTCTTGACCTTCTTCTTCTCAGCAACTTTGAGAGGCGTGAAGTATTGCTCTTGGGAGAAGCCACCAACCTCCGAGTAATCAGAGCTGGAATCGGTCATATCCAAGATGTTGACGCTAGAGTCCAAGCCTGTGGTAAGAAACTCTACTTCCTGTTCCATGCCGTACTTGTCCGTTCCTTCATCGTCCGTTCCTTCATCAGCTGACAATTCCTCCGAATATTCCGACAGACTTTCGGCCGTGGGGGAAGGGATGGCTGCGACAGCGGCAACTTCTGTGGCGAATGGCTCGGCAACAGCAACGGTTAGAAGAACTTGAGTAGCCTCCGCTTCTTCCTCTTCTTCATTATCCTGGAAGCGAATGGTGAAGCTCGACATGTCTCCGTTGATGGTGAAGTTGATCGACTTGCCGGTATCCTTGTTGATGGCGTCCGCCATGAAGGAGAATTGTTCAATGGAGTAGCGACCTAACATGATGCTTGTTGCTTGTTGTTGATTCTAAGCGATTGCGAGTTGTGAGCTGCAGGCAGGCAGTTGTGAGCTGCGTCTGAACAACAAACAAGATACAACAAACAAGATCCACTCCACGTTCCCTCGGTTTTGAGGAGAAGCCGCGCACTCCACTCGGAACCGAGGAAGCTTCTTTGGTTCAAAGGATACAAAGAAAGAGGTGAGTGCCAATGATTGGCGCCTCCGCCTTACGTGAAAGGTCTTGTTTGAATCGTTCAATTGAATCTGCATTGGCTTCCGGCGCTTTCTTTCTTCCATGTTGCCTCATTCTGTCGTCCACTTTTGCCCCACAATTTCCAATCATGTTGAACCAATCCATCGATCGAGTTCTCTCCTTCTTTCTTGCTGCCCGTTCGTGGTGCCAATGGGCTGCCCATGGTGGGCGCTCGGCTGTGGATCATGTCAACTCATCTTTTCTTTTTCTTGTTGGTTTTGTCCATTCGGTTTGTGGCCGCATGATTGGACATTGCGTCAATTGGGAAACTCTATTTTCGTTCAGCAGTGACGAGGCCGATGACATTTCCATGGTGATCCGTGTCACTACTACCATCGGATATGACAAGCGTGTGCAAGGATGCATGACAGTTCAACAGTTTGGAAGGACTACTGCAATACACGGCTCTTAGCCTTATTCGCGACTCGATCCTAGATAGGGTTTGAGTTCGACTCATGACTGAGTCTTTCGTGAATAGTCATTGAGACAGGTTCTCTCATATACCGCTAGTATACTAGGTCGATGGTGAAACATCGCTAGATATTTAGCTGGCGTGGAGAGATTCCACGCTACTAGATAAATGCTAGACGAATCTTCCACGCGTTCCGTTTTTGGGATCGTGGAGTGAGTAGGATTGCACCGCAAACTACTCTATCAACTTAAAGTCTCCCCGGGATTTCAATCTACGTCTTTGATGTGTGATCTCTCTCGTTTGATTTAGTTTTTTGCATAGCTTTCTAATCCTCTCATAACTTCATTCTCTCAAACTCAAAACACTCGAAAGATCTTTACACTAGCTTTAGCGTAGTGCATTTTGTTAACAAAACAATAGCTTTCAGCTACCCTCAAACTATTCCTCACCATGAAATTCCAAAGACGCGTACAACAGCAGTTTCGAGTCTAAGCTGCGCGACAAAACCAATCCTTCATCTCTCATCGACCGCGACGATGAATGCGAAATCGGCGATTCTCGATCCACCACCTACAAACTTCGCAACCTGTTCCAGCAGATGCGACAGCGCAGCTTCCTAGCAGATTGCTTCGGACAGTCGCCAAATGTTGACACTTGCTATAGGTCCAAAAATCATCAATTGATCAAGACTCCAACGTCAAGACCATCAATGGGCTGGACGTATTGAGAAGGTCTTCTGGGTCGCCATTGCTACGCTGAAGACAAACATAACCTCTCAAGGAATGACTTCTACTCTGCAAGAGCAGTTAAGAATCTAGCGTGCAGGCCAACGTGAAATACGTTGGAATGCCTTGGCCAGATTGAGTCAACGGATTCCTCCACGCGACGTGCCGTAAGTGGCGGTGAAGACGAAGCCGCTTTCCAAGTAGTTTCCAGGCTGCCTGGAAAGAGCAGCTCAGCTGCTTGGACGACGTGACTCTTACGTTTGGCATAAATGCTTGTGTCGAAGCGGTCTGTCCTACAAGGCTCTTGAAAGCAGAAACGTTCATGCCGCAAGATGCGTAGCCCGCCGATATGTACTCGGCTTATTCAAAAACTCAGTCGGATGAATGCCATGAACTTCCTCGTCTACACCTTTTGGACCCAACCAAACGTTGAACCATGACAAGTCATTGACATTGTTTTTCATGGAATTCCAACGCTCGTGGATGAAGAAGATGGACGAACACGACTTCGATCCTTTCTCAGCTCCTATCGGAGAAACCAATGGATCTGCGAACGCATGGAATCCTCCGAGACTTTGACAAGGGCGGTATGCCAAGCAAGCTCCTTCGAAAGAAGAACAACAGCAAGAAGTACAAGTCTACTCGCAAACGACCACCTTCCAAGACGAAGAAAAATGTGCGACTACACGAGTCAGCACTCACAAAACTGCTACTGCATGACTCTAAAAACTAAGGCCAATCTCAGTCCTCGTCTGACAACGATAACAAGCCAGCTACAACAAGAACAAGACTTGAAACGCAAGTCGACGACGCCAAGTCCAACACAAGAAGGAACTTTCTGTCCTCATGAAGAAAGTTTTCCAACGCTGCGGTCAGGCTGATCGCAAGAAGAAAAGCGAATGCAACCATGTTGTCCAAACGCAAGTCAGAAGACTCTGACAACGAGGACGACTCCTCTGTTGATCCATCAACATGATGGACAAGAAATGGCTGCCGTTGACAAGGCGCTTGCCGAATTCGCTTCAATCATTCGGATGGAGAGATCTCGTCTGAGGATTAGGCCAGGATATGATTCAACGGAACCATGTTCCGATTTCCCATACCAAAGTGATGAAGATATCTCACTAATAGTAAACAAGATTTGTTTCAACTAATGAAGTCTACGGCAAATTAGATATTGCCTAGCAACTACTCAACTAGACTCTGACGATCTGTTCAGCATCGTTAACTTCGTCATGGCCAATCAACTCATCAACGTCGCAAGACAAGAGACCTCAAAACTATCGTCTATGTTAATTTAACAGACGGGAGAAAGGAAACAAAAACCCGTTACACTCTGTTGTCTTACTGGTACAGGAGCATCCGGAACTTTAATTACTCAAACTCATGCTAAGAGTTTAATCATGAAGAATCATGGGGGCGTCCAAACATTAGGATTGCTTCTGTAAAAGAATGAAACCCCGCACGAAGTGTAAGGCACACTCATGATTCCCGAGTTCCCGAAGATAGAATTATCGATGGAATTTACACGTCACCAAAACTTGGGGGCGCAGACATGATCATAGGTCAAGACACTCTCTCCGACCTAGAATCAAACTGACATGATCATAGGTCAAGACACTCTCTCGACTAAGAATCAGTTTGATTTCACTACATGTCAATGGAGTGGAAAAGCTATTTTTCCTGCGAAAGATGGCAATAACGATGGAGAAGAGAACTTTCCATTCTGATCTGCAGCTTCAGCGACAATGCAAGTAGTCTCAAGAAGATTCTTGATGCGACATACGAACAAATGACTTAAGGCAGATGGCCAAGTCGAAACCGTTAAATAAGAAGAGCAAGAACTGCCTCATGCCTTCTCAACCAAGTGCTCGACCCAGTCGAGGTACTTGTGGAGAGTTGCAATGGACGACTACGAAGTAGAACTTCGTCCCGACGCTAATCCTATTATACTAGGGCTCACCCTACTCCGTGTCCATACCAACACTCTCAAGACAGAGGTTGAACGTCTCTGCAAGGCAGGAGTACTCAAAGAGATAAACTGTTCCGAGTGGACGGCACCAACTTTTATCATTCCCAAGAAAGACGGATCTGCACAATTCATCTCTGAATTCCGGGAACTGAACAAAAGGATTAAGCGGAAGCCTTATTCTATCCCAAAAATACAGGACATGCTCTTGAATCTAGATGGATTCAAGTACGCTACTAGTCTAGACCTGAACATGGGACACTATCACATCGAGCTGTCACCTCACTCGAAGCAACTCTGTACCATCGTACTCCCGAGGGGAAAGCACGAGTACCAGAGGTTGCCAATGGGCCTATGTAATAGTCCCGACATCTTCCAAAGGAAGATGAAAACACGCATGCATGACTTAGGAAATGTCCGTGCATACATTGATGATCAACTCATCCTAACTGACGACGATCTGGTGGATCACGTTGAATAGTTAGATGAATTTTTCCAAAGACTTCAAGAAGTCGGATTTAAAATCAACACTACCAAGGCCTTCCTCGAAAGGAAGAACTTGAGTATCTAGACCATTGGACTACTCGAGAAGGAATCCAACCTTTAACTAAAGGACAATAGATGCGATCCAGCTATCGCTCCTCCTACGAACAGGAAGGAACTTCGTGGATTCATTGGACCAATGAACTACCAAGGTCTGCTCCAAGACAGCAGACGAAGTAACCATCGTTCTAAAACAGACGTGGGTTACCCAGTATCCATGACCGGCCGAGGTTGTCATGGACAGAGAACGTGAGTCCCGCGCAGAGGTCGAGAAGACTCTCCGGGATGAACATGGACTTCGTCGCAAGTTCACGCGCGTCAATCGTGACAAGATTCACAACATCCGTTTCGAAGCAAACTGGAAATACATCAAGGAACGTCGCCAACGACTTATCCAGAAAAACAACGATAGGGAGAACGCGACACGTGTCCCTCATCAACACAATGTCAACGATACTATGATGATTCATCAGTATCAGAACCGCTAGTACGGTCAGCCAAAGCACAAAGGTCCTTACCACACAGACCGAGTCAATAACAATGGCACTGTACGGCTCCGACATGCTACCGCCAATAGCGGCACAGTCTACGAGACTTGGAACATAATGTATTTACACCCATACAAGGCCTGATCCCCTTGTAGGATTGCCATCGTGCGACGCACATGTCTACATCCAATCTCCGGAGAGTGCCCCGCACTTTAATTCATATGTTCTCCTTGTCCGACTGATGTCGTGCCTTCCGTGACCCTTGTCAGGGGGCGAAAATGCACTACGCTAAAAGCTAGTGTAAAGATCTTTCGAGTGTTTTGAGTTTGAGAGAATGAAAGTTATGAGAGGATTAGAAAGCTATGAAAACTAATCAATGAGAGAGATCCACAATCAAAGGATCGTAGATCTGAACTCTTCCGGGAGACTGTAGAGTGTGATAGAGTAGGTTGCGGTAGCAATCCTACTCACTCCACGATCCAAAAACGGAACGCGTGGAAGATTCGTCTAGCATTTATCTAGTAGCGTGGAATCTCTCCACGCCAGCTAAATATCTAGCGCGATGTTTCACCATCGACCTAGTATGACTAGCGGTCATGAGAACCCTGTCTCAATGACTATTCACGAAAGACTCAGTCATGAGTCGAACTCAAACCCTATCTAGGATCGAGTCGCGAATAAGGCTAAGAGCCGTGTATTGCACTACTCTATTCCGAGTTTTGATCGACGGCCATGAGATTGTCGACGGAGCAGGTGGAAACCAGCCTGGTGCGAGGATCCAAGGAGCAGTTTATCTTCCAGAGAGCCTCAACTGGGATCCATTGTTCAAGAAAGTGAAGAGTTCCAATACTACATCCATCCGTGGTCGATGTGCCTATGTGAAGTTTGGACCAAACATCTCTGGTGTCTCCGCTCTCCAGGCCACTTTGATCCACAGCAACAGCAACAAGAGTGCAGATGCGAAGCGAGTGTTTGCTGCCTTAGAAGACTGCATCAAGAAAGCGGCTGAGGTTGTCAACAACGTCTCTCAATCCAACAACAACTTCCATTTGTAGTCGACAATGCTGTTATCCGCGGCTTGGATGCAGTTTTGTACTGTTTTACTATAGGATCGCCAATCCACGGATGGAATATCCTCACCTCGGATTTGGCTCAATCCGCAAAATGTGAGCGGCCACTACACAATGACAATGGCAGCTATACCCAAAGGGATTGTTTTTTCTTACTCTCCTAACTATAAAGATCAAAAGCTATAATAGTGATAGCCTCAATATTAGCTATAGTTATGATGCTAGACAGCTTCAAAGTAAGCACGGATATCCGAGGTATTCGCGGATCCTTGGAGGCAGCCCTCTATGAGGCACTGGGGACGAAGGCTTAACCACAATATTCTTCTAAATCCACAGCTGATTTTGTCCTCTAAGTATCTTTCGATCTTTTTGCAACAATGTTATCTTTTCTCGCACTCTTCTTGTCTTCTGCGTCGTTTTATCCGACATCTCACCAAAGGTACCGGTAGCATCCCAATCCGTATCAGATCCTCCTGTATGAAGTTGTTGTTTTGGACGCGTTTATGAATAATGGATCCAGAGGGTGCCGTATTTGCGAAGGAAACTCTTGTTGGTTCTTGTGGCACTTGTCGGTATGGAGTCAGTGCCATGCAAGGCCACAGAGATTCCATGGAAGACGCCCATATTGCCACCGCGACAATGCTGCCTCCAAACCATGGCCTTTTTGTTGTTTTGGATGGCCATGGAGGCGACGAAGCGTCCGAGTTTGCCAGTGAGGAGTTAGCCAGAATCTTGAGTGATGACCCAAACTTTGTAGCCTACACTCAAAGAATACAAGGGAACAACAAACAGATGAAAAATAAAAACAAGATGATGAAGGAAACGATAGACCTTCTGGAGAAGGCATTCACTCGCTCCTTTGTCGAAATGGACCGAGAGTTGTACCTGAATATGTGTTATGGGGAAGAAGCAGGTGCCTCTTCGGCTGGAAGTACCGCCGTGGCAACGTTGGTGACGCCAGATCTGCTTGTCTGTGCCAATATTGGAGATTCCAGGTGTGTTTTAGCCTCCAGCTCTACCTCTGCCCCAACGTCTGTGACTCCATGTGCTTTGAGTGAAGATCACACACCAGATTTAGAGGCAGAAGAAAAACGCATTTTAGACGCGGGTGGGAGTATTGAAATGGGACGTGTCGATGGGGAATTGGCAGTATCCAGGGCTTTTGGGGACTTTGAATTAAAAGATATCAACGGCTTGATGATGGACGAGTATGATCCCGATGATCCTGACGATGTGGATCAGCTCTTGGAGTACGCCAAACGACAAAAAGTATCCGCAGTGCCCGAAATTAGAGTTCACCAACGCAATGTCACCACCGATCGCTTTTTGGTATTGGCATGCGATGGAATTTGGGATGTAGCAAGCAACGAAGATTGTGTGGAATGGATTGCTGACATAATATGGCATCAAGGGCAGGATGACATGGGCATCGTATGTGAAAAGTTGCTAGATATTTGCCTGAAACAAGGGAGCAGAGACAACATGACCATCGCCATAGTTTTGTTCGAAGGAGGCCAAAAGTTGCTTGTAAAGTCTGGCAGTGGTCGTGCAACCCGGAAGCGACGCTAACCTTTGAACATGGGATTGCGTTTTGAACATTTTGGGGGGCAGGAACTCCATTTTGAAGATTGGGATCAGTAGAAACATGCATGCATGTTGTTCGAGGTAGAGCTGCAGGGAGGGGTCAACAACATTATCATAGTCGGAGATGAGGTGAATGCCAGCTACCACACAAGAGCTTTCAGCCTTCAATGGATTTCTTCACGGTGGAAAAAGACACGCAAGTTATCTGCATTCTTATAATCAAATTGTTGCTTCGCCTCAAATTATAGATTGGCTGTGAAACCGCTCTTTGGGTGCTTTCATTACTAATAAACAGAAGGAACAATCTTGTTTTCATTTCTACTGATAGGCTACCGGGAAGACTAATCGTTGTAGCTACATCTTGGCATCAACGGAGGCACTTTTAATTTCCATGACTTGACTCACACCCGGGTAAGGAGGCATCTTGGGATGGAGAAGAGAGGTCAGAGCAAGAGAGAGACGTCAGCTTATTCCTGCCCATCTTTCGAGTAACACGTTAATAACGGTAGCAAGATCAACAGCACTTTCTTACCTGGACGCCATACTTTTCAGCCAGTTTGGGAGGAAGGAACCGACCACCAACAAAATGGCGTCCAGGAAAACTCCTGGAACAATGTTTAGGAGTTGTCAGGCTGATCAGAACATCTGGCATGAATCCAGTCTTTGCCACGTCTCCCTCGTCGACGTTCCAACCCGAGGGGACGTCCACACTGATAGTTGAAAGGTTCTTATTGGCGTCTGCTTCCTCCTTTATTTGGGTCAAGATGGTGGCAAACGGTTCTCTTATCGTCCCTGCTTGGAACGAAAACCCAAATATAGCATCCACAATGGCATCATAAGGAGAGTTGCCTTTGCCAGTTGATTCTGGCATTTCCGCGGAGACGGTAATGCCCACATCCTTGCATTGCTGTACCAAGTTGATGAAATGTTGCTTTTTGGATTGTTTGGGATAGACCACATCACACTGGTAGCCAAACATGACCAAATGCCGTGCTGCAACCAATCCATCACCGCCATTGTTTCCTGGTCCACACACCAAGAGTATTCGAGGAGTCTCTGATTGTTGTCGGCGTTCTTCCACTACCTGATAGATGGCTTCGGCACAGGAGAGTCCCGCAAGCTCCATCAGTTGCTCCAACGAGAACCCTGGTTCCGTCATGAGTTCTACATCCAAAGCAGCAGCATCTGCAGCATTCAGATACCCCGTCAAATCGCTGGAAGCAGACGCCATGGTTCGCTTGGTACATGTAGTGGATGGATGAGAATTCGGGCACTGATCTTTGCTACCAAACACGGGCCTAGTAGAAGCCGACCAGAACGTGTAGTAAGACAGAGCAGAAAGAGGCTTGATGGGAGAACGATGTGTCAGGAAGCACCGGGAAGGATGTATCAACGATAACAGTGCTAGCCTTTGCATTACCCTCATCGTGGTTCAACTCATTTCTTGTTTGGAAGTTGAGATGATGTGAGATCTTCCTTTTGGATCTTGGTTGACGAGAAGCCCAAGCAAAAGATACTGCTACAGTACTGTACTGTACCAGTACCAATGAGAATTATGTGTCAACATCCATAAATCTTTCAGTCGAAAGGTGGTTTGTTCATGGAGAGACCACCCACAAATGGTTCCTTCTCTAGCTAGCCCAGCTAGTTCCCACTCCAGGTCCCTCCAGGACCTTCCTCTCCATCTCCACGCACCACTCCTGGTCGCACTCGAGGCCCATGGTCCATCTCCTGGTCCAACTAGCTATATGCTCCAACTACTGTAACTACTGTATGGTCCCAGAAGGGTCCCAAATTTTGGTTCATCGTCAGGTTAACAGTCCCTGTCACTCCAGCCCCCACTCCAGGACCAAGCTCGAGTCTACCTGTATCTCAAGGCCACAGCCCCCGCTCCAAGACCGACCTCTGGTCCCCACTCCAGGAAACAACACCAAGCCCCTCTCCTGGAGCTGCACAAAGGCCATCTATCTCCAGGACCTTGTATTGCCTGAATGAGCGCCGAGATTGAATTTGAAGCTAATTTTATTAAAAAAATCTCGACCTCTGCATGTCAAGAATGCCTCCAAACAGCCTGAAGTCTGACGAGCCAACTCTGCGGCGATGGGTTAGATTTGGAAGGCCCTTGATGAAAAAGGCAGCACTAGCCATGCGGGTCACCATCTGAGGATCCTTCTGCAACAAGAAAATTCGTCTAACTAGCTAGGTAGGCTACAGAAGGTAAAACCGAACGAATGGAACCGATTCGATTCGATTCAATCTCTTTTGTGTATTTGCATGCATCAGTATCATTATTATTTGTATCCAACATACATCGTCATGATGATTGTCGGTTGATCTCGTCTTGTTTGTCTATCGTATCGTATCGTTGGTTCCACGCAATCGAGTAGCTAGTTAGACTCCCAAACTGGCATTGAGTTTTTCGGCGACGGCCAACTGCGTTCTGGTAATGTTGGACAGATATGTGACCATGAGTAAATCTTGTAGGGAGTCGTTGAAGAGTCTATCAAAGACTTCGGGACGGACACGTGGTACGCATGCGAGAGTATCGGCAATTTGTCGTCCAACTTCTGGATCGGGATTGACCTTTCCTTCGACGACGGAATCGACGTATTGCAAGGCCGTGTCGAGTAGACTGTATAGTTTTTCCATGGACACTTGCAGGGCCAAATCCTCCTTTTGTTTTGTAGTAGAGTTGTTGTTGTCGTGTGATTTGGTCATTTGATTGAGACAAATGGTTTCGGGTTCGGTGGATTGCAGGGACAAGCGTACTTCGTGAAAGAGGTTGGCGAGTGGCTCTCCCAGCACCGTGACGGGTGTACTGCGAAACGCTCGAATGGCAATCGAGTCGGTTTGCATTCGCGTATCCACCACCAAATGAACGGGATCTCCTTCGTCGGATTCTCCCGCGTAAAATTCGTGAATGAGAGAGGACGTGTCGGCAATCAAGCCCTTGCCTTCCGAGAGTGCGGCCGAAGCGTACCATCCCACGACGGTTTCCTTGCGATTGGTTCGATTATAGAGTGCCAACATTTGCTTGTTGAAATCTTTGCCAATGGCAACTTCGTCCCCGCGTTCGGCGTGAGGCACGGCAAAGCAGTTGGTCACTTCAATCTAATGATTATAATACATTGCAAGCCAAACAAGGAAGAATGAGTGTGAGAGAGAGCCACTTTAGCCAGAACACTCCATTCTTGGTTTTGACATAACATGACCTACTTTATCACCATCCCTTCGTCCCAGCAAAGTCCCAATGACTCGTCCATCGGTTTCTTGTCTCCTGGTGTGATGGTCCAATACATGCAACAAGACCAAGGGATGGACCACCAAGTGAGATACCACTTCGGGGTCGTCCTCGAGCAACAGGGCTGGAATAGACCCAGAGGAAGAGAATGCTGTTTGGGATGCCATGTTTTGTTGATTGCTATAAGATAAGAGTAACGAAGGTCTCGTAGCTAGAGTTATCTTCAGACCAAGAAGGTTATCACAAATAGATAGCGCTGCTGTGGATGTGGGTTGCCGATGGATGGAGGCCATGGTCGCACGTTTCACGTGGACGGCTCGCAAAGGGTTGGGTGGACCTGAAGTGAACGGAGAACAAACAGACGCATTGTTGTCAGTCACGGACTTCGCGTGTTTGCAACAAAGATCTTCAGCACTTGACTTTCATTCTTCATTGACGCAATTTCCGCCATTGCTTTTTGACATGACAATGACGACCACGACGAAGATACACCCGTTGGTTCGAGATTTGTACAAACGAGCCCTCATGGTGGGACGGGACTATCCACAAGGATTGGATTATGTGAGGGAAAAGTGGAAGACGGCTCTGCGAGATCCCAACAATTGTCCTTCCTGGTATTCATCGTCATCATCATCGATATCCAATACTACGTGTAGTAATGTTGAGACCGAGGCCCTCAAGGAGCGAGAAATGCGTCGTGCCGTGGCCAAAGGACGATTCATGATTCGAGAAATGGTGGGAGTCATTCAACTCAAAAAGTATAGAACCATGAAACGACGATATGCAAGTGACGACCGGTACGAGGATACTGCAGTACCGGTACTGCAAAGAGCCATGGAAAATCTGGAAGAAGAAAAGGTTCCGTGACTGTGAGCACAAATAATAAATCAATCCTCTCATGAGTGGATTCCACATCGCTCACTCGAAAATTTCGACAACCAGATGTACGCTGCCCAGCAAGAAAGAAGACGCACTCGACTACGATGCCAGATTGACCGCCGTCAAAGTCTCGTGGCTTGTCCAAACAGATTCTTCAATGGTCAATCCACCGGCAACGACAGGCAATCGAACGGAGTAAAATTGTTGGATGCACTTTTCAATAATCTCACCTGGACGATGATCACATCCAAGTGATAGTAGGCTCCGGCAACTGTCGAACAATCAACCCAGCCAACAGAAGATTCGGGGCTGCAATAATAATAGCAGCAGCTTCCGCAGACCTACTTGAAACGCAATCAATTGCCGCGAAAAGGGAGTTGTTGTCTTCACCACTGAAGAATGTAAATCAAAATTTCTCAACTAATAAATTTTTAAGCAGAAGTCTAGCGAAGATGTTGCTTCGTTCAATCGTGATATCAGACAGTTATTCGGCTGTGGCGCATGGAAGGTTGGCTCGAGGTGACGCAAGACGTTCACAGACAAATCTAGCGCAAGGTAGCCTCTGTATGCTCATATTCCTCCTCATCCTCTGGCACTGTATTGGGTTGCCGTGTCAGTGCCAGGACTCGCTCCCAGGTACGTCCCTTGGGATTCATGTTTCGAGGCGATGTTGCTACGAGCTGTGGAATGGGAAGAAAGACCATGCGATTGTTGCAAAGACCCACACTGAATCCTGTAAAGCCTGCCATGGCACCATGGACGGCATTTTGGCCCAGTTGCATACAGTAGAGGGAATCCGCAGCATTGGCCGGAACAGATCGCACAATGTAGGAAGGATCAATGTACTTGACCGTGGCCACTTCTCCCTTCTTTTTAAAGTACCCTTCCACCTCCTTCTTCATGAATTCACCAATCTTGGGGAGTTTCTTGTTGCCGCTGGCATCTGTTTCGGCCGAGGTTCCCAACAACTCTTCTCCAGCTCCTTCCGCAACTACCACCACGGCATAGCCCTGTTGCTTGACACGACGCCACAAATGAGGCAAGCATCCATCCTTGCCTTCTAGCACCAGTGGCACTTCTGGAACCAAACAAAGATCCACATCCCCTGATGCCATGGTGGCGTGGGCTGCAATGAAACCAGCAGAGCGTCCCATTAATTTCACAATGCCAATGCCTGTCAGTCAACAGAACATGTGGTATGGTAGCAGCAAGTTGTTGGTCAGTATATGGTGGTTGTTGGCAAAGGTGCTGAACATGGATCAATATTGTGGAGTTTTCTCACCATTGGGCAAATTGCAGACAGCTTCTGTTTTGGCAGACCGGATGGCAACTTGGGCAGCCTCCACAGCACTTGCAAATCCAAATGTGTGGTCAATGTGGTCAATGTCCTATCCAGTTTGGATCATGAGAGATAAAACGCATTTGCATTAGACATTGCTGGTCAAGTACCAACACATTGGAACAACTATCTGAACGTACATTATCGATAGTCTTGGAATGGATAGGCAGAGATCATCAAACATAGCATTTGCATTATTGAGACGTTGCGGGTCAACTAGGTGACACTACTACAGTGCGTGTCCAACTCATTATTTACCTTTGGAATTCCAGCAACTGCAACATTGAGGCCCTGAACAATAAAGGGAGGAAAAATTGCATATTTGGTGGTGATGTGAGACGATTTCCATTTTCAGCCAAAAGCCTCATTTACGAGAAATAAATGTCACTCACATGTTCCATGCATCCTTCATGAATGCGAAAGGCCCCTCGATGGGTTCCATCACCTCCAATTACGTACAATTGGTTGACATCATATTTCTTCAAAAATGCCAGAATAGCCTCCAAATCAAATCCTCCTCGCGAAGACCCCAAAACGGTGCCTCCACTGTGATGAATATCTTCCACCAATTCCGGTGTCAATTCAAGAGGTTGCATGTGTGGCTCTGTGGCAGAGAATCCGTGATATCCAGCCTGAATTCCATAAACCTTGCCTCCAATTCCATACAACTGATGCAATGTCTTGGTGATTTCTCGAATGCAGTTGTTGAGTCCAGGACAGAGTCCGCCACAAGTCACAATGGCAGCATTGACTTGACGGGGATCAAAGTGCAGGTGTCGCCTAGGTCCAGCTCGCACATAAGCCACCGAGTGAACTGCCATGTTGGGCTTTCGAATAATTTTGCCCAAAATACATTCATGATTGGTAATCAACTTGTTGTAGTCTGTAATCTGAAATCCTTTGCCAGTGGAAAAGGATCCCCTCTTTCCAGCAGCAGGAGTGCCATCATCGCCATCGGCAGTGTCGTTCGTCCCATCAGATACCTTTCGCAGCATGGGACTCCTCGTCCTGAGCGGGGCGTCCGACACTCTCATTTTGTTTTCCAGTTTGGTACCAGGAAATCTCTTTTTCAAGTCTTCCACTTCCCACAAGTAGACCTGATCGATGCGGACATCAATCAACTCCCCTGAGGCAGGTTCCCCTGCTTCTTTTCGGATCTGCATGGTCTTTTCCCGGATCATCTTATTGCGTTGGTAGCTCTCATACTGACGTTGTTGGTGCTTATTCATTTCGGTTCGCTTTGTCACATAATGGGTCACCAAGGCAGTGGCAGTCACCGCGACCAAACCTGTCACGGCAGCTGTGACGGCCACAGCTGAGGTACTGTGGCTGCTGGAAGACGTCGACATGCTAGGATGGTTGAGAGTATTGTTACCAGTATCAGTATTGGTTGTGGAAGGAAGGAAGGAAGGAAGGAAGAAAGATAGAGATACCTTTGCCTCGTTTTGGGAAAGAAGATGGGATGAATCAGAACGCGATCTTACGCGATCTTTCGTGCTCTTCTTTATAAGCCTGTTAAACGGCTTAAAACTGGAACACAATCGGAGGACTTCTCACTTCTTTTTAAGATTTCAGAAGACAGACTCTGCAGCAGACCCTCAATCATTCACCTAGACTACCGATACCGTTTGAACATATTTATGCCACCATGAGACGACACAATCCATACCAAACACTAGTATCGCTGATCCTATTGTTCGTTTGGATCCCAGGCGTGTCAAGCCTGTATACCGGTGGCACACGAGGAGGTGGCCATCACAAGAATCAGGAAGATGATCGACCGAACATGAACGGAGACTATGTCTTGTCTTCTACGCCCCATGCCAACAATACGCAAAAGCTATTCCCCACTCATTTCAAGGACTATCCCGACATTGCCACAGAATCGTTTGATGTCTACAGTCCGATCATCTCGCAGCTTTATTCGCAAGTTTTTTGGAAGGGACTGCCACCCGTGAAATTACCCCAGCACATTGCATCGAAATACAAGGGACAAGTCATGGCAGTGATTGGATTTGAACTTGATCAAGTACGCATCGACAAAGATGGAAAGGAACGATCTGTTCCGATGAATGCAGTGTACAATCATCATTTTGAAGCCACCATGATTGGAGGAGACAAGACGACGCGATTTGAGTTGGTATCTCCCAAGGATTCCAGAATAGTTGCACAACAACAGCGACGACAACGCATGGGACATGGCATTCCACCACATCAGCCCTATTGGTTGGTTGTCGACACTACTACAGAAAGCGACATGACTTCCACAGGAGGAGAGAAACGAGAACAACAATCGATGATTCCCACACAACAAGCTTTTACAGGAGCCAATGGAGGCGAAGTGCGCAAGTCGTTTCATGGATACCCACCTGGATTTGCCCAACTCATTGCCAGTCCCAAAGCCATTCAAATTACTCCCATGCAAATTGATACGTGGAATCGAGATGCCATGGATTTGGACAATAATTTCACACGGTTTGTCCCAGGACCATTGCCACGAAATTCATTGGCACCAAAGAACAAGAATGTCACCTACAGCGGATTATTGGAATGTCCCGTCACGACTCGCATCCAAAAACATCTTCCTCCACAAGGATACCTTCCTCTAGCCAAAGGGAGCTGCGAGAATCTTGTGATTACCAGCCCGGACGATTGTTTCCAGGCCGTGACGAAAATGGTACGAGAGAGCGACAACCAAACCCAAATTCATACAGTCTCGGGCCAAGACGATCCAAGCAGACCCAAGGGATGTAGTATGCGCGTTGTATCTGTGCCTCCTATTCCAGACTATGACGACGAGCAACGAGTGATTGAAGCATTCTATAACAATGCGTCGGAAACAACCGTCGAATGCGGATCTCGCAATGCAGACCAACTCTACAGTGCCGCTGCCAATTCGTTGGTAGAGGTATCCGTCATGATTGATACAGCCAAAGATCTGGTCACAATTTCCCTCAAAGGGCCAGCCTATCGTTGGTTTGGTGTGGGCTTTGGGGCGCGCAAGATGAAGGATCAACCCTGGACCATTGTTGTGGAGGGCGGACAAGGCGGTGCCGTGACGGAACGCAAGTTGGAGGATCACGCGGGTGGCACACTCATCACACCTTCCACTATTACGGTCAAGTCCAGTACGACTTGTCAGGATGGCACCAAGACTGTCATTGTGACACGGCCCATCCAAGGCCAGTACTTTAATTTTGATGCCCACGTCAACAACACCGCAACGATTGACTTTATCAATGCTGTTGGATCATCAAAACAGTTTGGTTATCACGAAAACAAGGCTGCAAGCTCCATGCTCGTATTGCCAGTGACGACTGCACGAGACGACAACAACAACATGGGAGGCGTTTGCATGTGTCAAAAGGATCCACCGCCGTTTGGAGCTGCCACGGGCGGGTCATTGGAATATCATCCCGTCAAGGGGCAACCGGGAGAACGGGGAGTTGCAGGGAGCGTCCAATTGGACAACAAGTGCGAGCCATATCCCCACACGGATTTGTTGGAACAAAAGAATCCTACTTGTGACATTCGGACCTATGTTGGCGGCCAAACCGCGTGCCATCATATGTGGAGTCTACTCGATGCCGACCAAGACATTCCTTGGGCAGACCAACCCCTGGAGTATCGTCTCAAATTTCGATTCTGGGTTCAACCCTACGACGCATCGTATCACACCAATGTCCACATGACGCGCCACGGGATTGGCAGTCCTGTGGAGTACGATGTCCCAAAATGCGAGGACGGAATCCCTGGTTGTTCCCTGGAAGTAGACCACAAAACCAACCGAGAACGTTGGGTTCACACCATTCGAGGGACGATCCATGTGGAGGGAAGAATTGTGGCAGCGCACTTTCATTGCCATGCTCCCACGTGCATCATGATGGCAATGTATCTTTGTGACGACGACAATGATGAAAGGCCGTGTGACGAAACCTCTGCAACGCTCTTGTGTGAGGAACATGCCGTGCGGCAGCATGGCGAGCCAGGGCAACGTTTCAATGAGCCCGACTTTATCTATCAGCCACCGTGCTTGTTTGGATCCTCAAAGTACGGGTTGGAACCGCCCATAGAAATGACAGGCCGCACGCTGTTTGTCAAAAAGACAGCTGATGCAACTTATGGGCATCATGGCGAAATGGCATGGGCGCAAATGGCCATGGCAAAGTAAGAACGAACGAAAAGTCTAGCATTCGCTGGAAGGTGATAGATCAGCATGACCAACGGTACCACGATATCTGGTAGTACCGTCTAACCCATCCAAGTTCCCATGTCTTTTACAAAAGATGGGCCGCGACGAACCTTCGAAGAAAGGGTTGCGGGAGAAGGGATGGACCGAGTCTAGTAGAGTGGCAGTCATCCCTGCAGCTGCGGCTATTCCTTGCAGTCAGTACCGTATCGATAGCTGGGAGTTCGAGTGAGTCAGATTCGAGTGCCTTGGATGGCACAGGCGTCATTTGCTGTCCACATCGGATTTTTGAGTGCTTTTTCGCAGCAATGCGAGTACCTATGTCGGCATCTGGGTCGCTCCCCGGACAGGTCGTCTTCTCCACGACCATCACAACCAACCCGCAGTCAAGGGGCTTCGAACTCATCAGTCCCCTAGCCAGCTCCAGGAACAGTAAAACAGATATGAATGTACGACTTAGAGCAACGAACACAGACTCAATAGTTGTCCCTTTATTAGAAGACTGTCATTCTTTCTCTGCTTGACGCACATGCAACCTAGTTTGCACCTCGCGGATTGATCACCAAACATCTTGTCCAGGAGAGTACCTGTGGTTTCAACTTTCTTTTCCGCACTTGCAATTATTACCTGGCCTTGAAAACAATTTTCAAGCCTGGTTTGGCTTTCATGGTGACAAAGTTGGTGAATGTGTGCTCCACATCACGCTGGGATGGAGCAATCTCCACCCTGACAGCACGCACCATTTGGGCCACAATCATCTTGGCCTCATAGGTGGCAAACTTGTACCCAATGCAGTTGTGGCCACCAGCACCAAATGGCAAAAATGTGAAGTTTCTAGAATCCATGCCACCACTACCTGCATCACCACCTCCCAACCATCGTTCCGGCTTGAAGATTTCTGGTTCCGGCCAATACTTGGGGTTCCGGTGGAGGAGGAGCACGGGCAGCATCAAATTGGTGTCCTTGGGAATTTTGTAGCCTGCGATTGTTTCTTCATAGCAGTTCCGGCGGACCACCATTCCCACAGGTGGGTACATGCGCAGCACCTCATTCAGGAATGCTGACAAGTACTCCATGTTTTCTGCTTCTTCCAAGGTTACATTGCTGTCATCATTGTTGGTGTCCTTGAGGTTCTTTATGACATCTTGAAAGACTTTATCTTGTACATCAGGATGTTTGGCCATGGCGTAAAGTGCCCAGTAACACCATGTTGATGTAGTCTCATGCCCAGCCAATAGAAAAGTCTTCAATTCATCCTTCAATTCTTGGTCTGAGAGAGCATTTTTGCTGTTGGAAGTTGCCTCTGCATCTCTTGCCTGCAACAACAGTCGGAGAAGCGACTTTGACGACGATATGTTGGGCAATGATGATGATGATGCAGACAATACCCCATCTTCTGCCTCTTGCTGGTTCATGTTCTTGGCATTCTGGATGATCCCCTCAACAGTTGAACTAATGGCTGATATGAGGTTGACAGTCTTTGGATTAATGTATGGATCCAGAGAATAAGTGCCAGTCATGAAAAGGACTAAACGCAAGAGACTTGGCTGGAAAAACCCCATGAATGATTTTATGAGAGGATCAGTCAACTCAGGTGACTGAAGACTCTTAGCATCGTTCTTGTCCCCAGCTTGCTTGGCTTCTTGGACTGCCGTGGACCAAGCTTCTATATCCTTGAGGCCACTGGTATCATAGGAGAATCCTGCATCTCCAATGATATCCAAAGTTAGGGCAGAAAGATGAGATGCCAGGTCAATTTCTTGTCCCTCGCCAGCATCCAACCAGCAGCGAATGAATGTTTGAACCTTGGGTGGAACGCTGATGTTCAATGTCTCCTTGAGAAATGATACAGAAAATGCCGGTTGGATGATTCGGCGATGCCTGGCCCATTCCTCTCCCTCCAGAGTGACCAGGCCATAACCTATCACACTGGGAAAGAGGGTGAATGGTTTCTTGAATCTACAATCGTTCTTGGATGCTGGTGCTGTCAGTATTTCCTTTAAAAAAGATGGAGCCATCAATTTTAGAATAGGATAACGCCATGAACAAAAAAGAAAAATCAGCAGATGGGCCGACTAACCTTCAAGATTTCCTTGTCCAAAATCAGCAAGTAGTTCTGGCCTATGATCTGAGAGTAGCGGACAATGCGGGCTTCAGGGCCCACTTCTTCCCACCACTGCTTGTGTGGGACCATGAAAGGTTCTCATCTGATAGCCGGGGTTTGTCCCAACCAGAAGCCACACTTGGGACCCGGAATATGCTGTATGGAGCGCCATTTCAGAAACCGAGGGATCATTCGCAGTAGCCTAAACAGGGCAAAACATAGTGCAAGAGCTCCCAACCAAAGCCATACCATGGTGATGATATGTTGTTGTCAAATATTGAACGAATTTCTGCACTACTGGTATTATCGCTGCTTGTGGCTGGACTGTTTCCTTGCGCGATGTAGGTACCATTGATCTTTCTCGCTTCAAAGATCGAAGATCCACGACTTGGTTGGCGCGGTGTAATTGTTCGGGCCGTGGGTTGGTAAAAGCCAGTGGAGCTTCAGGGCACGAGCAATGGATCCCGGAAAAGCCTCCGAAAGGCGTTCGTCCCGAAGTTTGGGAGCCATGGAGCCTGGTGCCTTGCTTGGACCTTATCTTTTAGCCGCCGCTGTCTGCAACCTACCAACAAGTCAATTTGGCCAGAAAATTTAAACTCTGTGTCAACCAGCCAGACACAGGCGCTTTCACAAGGCAGCAGCCTCCGGTAACCATTGACAAATCAATGAATGGCCAGTGAGAGGTCAATATTCTGCATTTGGAACAAACAGGAAGGAAACCAGCCCTTTCAGAACCTATCAGGAATCCCGCAAACCACCAGCCATGCAATCACTGACACTTACAGAACAACCCATGGCTAGCAGGCAATCCTTGTTCCAACGTACAGACCGGTAGAGTGCGGTCGAGAGTCAATCCAGTGGGCAATCGTCTGCCTCCGCGCCCGAGAAAGGTATGAATCCTACAATATTTTCCGATCTAGTAGACTCCCTTTCCAGACTGCAGGTGTGTAGCTAGCAGTAGTCAGTCAATGCAAAGAACTCTCGGCATAGATATCGCTTCCTTCGGCAGCAGCCCTTTTGCTTGGTGCCCAGACTCCAGACTCTACTAGTAGACTGCTTAGCTTCGCGCCCAATGCCAAGTCCCGCAAGCCTTCAAACGTTAGTGTGACGTTGCAACCACGGACGCCACAAATGCACGAGCCCAACAGCCACAATGATCGACGACCGAAGCGGCGCTGTTCATTGGAGAGTATCATACTGGTACTGTCTACTTCGCTTGACCCAATAGCAAACCACATAGCTAGAAGAGTTGCCACAGTAGAGTAAAGAGAAGAAAGATGGTGGGAATTCGCAGCAGCAAACGCAACGGCAACAAGCTTTCGCTTCCGGACTTTGCCAAGTACATTCCGTTGCGTTTGTCGGCAGAAGAGAGGGCCTTGCTGACCGTAATGGAACAAACGCTGAATGTAAGCGAGTACACGGACAATGTGGATGTGACATCGGCTCGTCGAGGCATCAAGACGCGGCGAATTCTTGATGGGATTTTGGAGGTTTGCCACATGGCCACGGGGTTGGCTGTGTCCAGCGGCAAAGAGCGCGGTCTCTTCAACATGTGTGTAGTGGAGGACAACAATGGAGGCAGCAAATTGCCTTTAGCAGCACTTTCCTTTGGACGCAAGAAAAAATCGAAAAAGGCCAAGAAAAAGAAGAAAACACGACGTGAAAAAGAGGCAGAAGATGACGCTGGAAACAATGACTCTTCGTGGGCGGCGCGAGAGCCACGAGACAATGCTGTCTTGTTCCAAACCATGTTCGAAATCTGCCGTCGCAACAAAGTGCTCAACCCCAGCTCCATGCGGACGACCTATGGCAAGCTCATGTATCTCATGCAGGACTCCCAAAACCCTACTGTCGCCAAGTCTCTGGGATTCTCCCTGCACAAGGATTTGGTCCTGGTGGGTCCTTATTTGGATGCGCGTGGATGCTCAGAGTTGCTGCGAGATGATCGTTTGGAGGGTGCCACACAATACATTTCTTCCCGCAACCATAAAACCGGAAAACAAATAAGCCGTGAAGAAATCGAAGAAATGGTGGAAGAAAAGCGAGCTCTGGCCGATGCTCTCGTCGAGGAATACAAGAGCGACAAAATCACCGCCGAAAACGTCCGTCGTTGCATCGAATCAATTACCGATGCCATTTCCTACGTAGAAAGCAACGTAGCTCCAGTGCAAGCAATGCTGAAGCATTTGGAGGATTATTTTACCCCGGACGAGTTCGAGACTGGGTTCTCCCTCGAACTCAATGGCCGACGAAGCAACTTCAGTTCTTATTCGTCGGGTTATTCACGCTACGGACTCTCTGCGTATTCTTCCAGCCAATCGGAAGGACCAAAGCTCAGTCATAACCATCAGACCCAATACACCTTTGTGTGGCAGTCGCTCCAGCTTTGGTGCAAGGTCATGCGTAACATGCATCGTCTTTGGGTCTGCGCCGATGACGACTTGCTATCTACCTCGAATGCCTACCACCTTCACAATACTGGCCAGGGGCTGAACCGAGTGCAAAGCTGCCCCAAGGTTCGAAAGGTCATGTCAACACTCTTGCACATGACGCAGCAAGAAGCTGGTCAGGCCTGGGTCGGGTTGTCGGTGATTCATCTCGGAGACCGTGATGTTCCCAACGCTCTCATTTTCATCGACAAGTACACACAGATCCCACGCTTTTTGAACCCTCTCGTGTCTTTCTTCCAGTCTGTGCCGGAATTGTGCCAGGATGAGAGAATTGATGCGTACATCAAGAAACAGTTTGGTTCTCATCGAAAACTCATGATGACTGTTCTCTGCGACTACTTCAAGCATGGGTTTGACGGCAGCGGTGATGATGGTGGCTCTTGCATCGATGGACGATTGACTTCTTCGTGGAACTGGACATCGCGCGTAGCAAAAAAGCCGTACTACCATGCGTTGATGTTGTCGGGCTTTCAAGGATTTGACGGAAACTTCAAATGAGCAAAATATTACGAATGATTCAATCGAATCAATCAAGCAAGCAAACGCCAGGAATGAGGCAAGAATGCAAATAGTAATCTGGCGGGTACCAACCGTACGTTTTCCCCCACGAGATGTACAGATGGAAGAAGCACATAAAATAGGATACCGTTAGTTGCTGCACATGACCCTAAACTTGCACCGTGAGTTGCTATCTCGTACTGCTGGTATGGAGGACGAATTGCAGGCACAGTAGAGCTACTATCGGGCCCATCCCTGCGACATAAGTTGCTACCGGTATCTCACAGCCTCTGCGGAAGGGACCGGCATGCCGGTGACAGCAAATTCTTACACAAAATCAACACACCAGATAAAGCTAGACCTCCACTGGCGAGAGTTACGATGTAGTTGTGTTCAAAATACCGTACTCTACGTAGACTGTACAGTCACACTACCGAAAGCAACAATCTATATTACCGCAAGTTCACTCTACCATTCCTGAAGCTGCCTGAGAGAGATCCCCTTGCACTTGGGCGACGCATTGAAAGTCCCCATTATTGTCAGCTTTCCACATTTGAACAGCTCCGGCATCACCACTACTGGCCAAAACTGTTCCTGTCACATTCCACTGGCATCGCCATGCATTTGCCATCAACGTTTGAGCTGATTCTACCTCCAGTTTGTTGTTGTTGATTCCTGTGGGCTTTTTGGTTGTCTTGTTGTTGCCTCCACTGCTTGTTTTCTCGTCCGAGTCGGCGTATGTCCTTGACAACTTGTAAACTCGCAGCTGCTGATCCTCCGCTGCCGCAATATAGTGGAATCGTCGTCCCACATTAGGAGCCCATGCTACATCCAAAACGTGCAGATTGTTTCCACTGGACGGAAGTTGTAACAAGGGTTGCCAAGACCGAGCCGACTCCATGTATCGAAAGATAGATAAATGTGAGCCTCCCACAACCAAAGTAGGTGGCTCAAATCGGCCTGTACACCAGCTCAAACAGGAAACCCCAAGTTGATCTGTTGCCAGAGCGGAAGAAGTTCCTTCTCCTTGTCCATACGCTTGAAGTGTGGCAGCCAAGGGCCATTGACTAAGGTTCATGACATCGACTGCTTCGTAGATGCGAACACAGCCATCCGCTGATCCTGTGGCCAGCTTCAAACCCCAGTGACGAGGGGCAAACTCTAGGCATGTTACGGCCTTGCGTGCCTCTGTCAATTGCGTTTTGACAGTCCACCGGGACGCCAAGGCTGACGATGCTGTTGTATTGGTGGCTCCTGTGGCTGCCGTCGCAGTAGTGGTGATTCCCCCACCAGAAGCCCCAATACCGGTCAGATTGGCCGCTGGAGAGGTCGCTCCAGCGTTGGTACCACTCAAAACAAAATACGGATGCGAGTGATGGGCTCCGTGAGTCCGTTCTTCCCAAATCTTGGCATCGCTATCAGATCCGCTCGTCGCCAAGACGGATCCAAACTCGGGATGTGCCCATGCAATTTTCGTGACATTGCCGCGATGAGCTTGCCATTCTCCAACCTGAGAGCGTCATACCAGTTAGTTGTTTTTGAAATATGATAGAAATTGATAAGGAGATGAGAGCGAGAGAGAAGTGATAAGATTAAATAATTGAGGACAACCAATGAGGGCCCAATGAGATTTCCAATGGGCAAAGAAGAGCAGCACAACAACAACAAAAACTCACCAAATTCCAATCCCCGGTATCTGTCAAATCCCACACACGGACAAAACGATCTCCACTGCAGGTTGCCATTCGGCGACCGTATACATCAAAACTAATATGGTGAATATAATCCATGTGATTGGATACCATCACTTTGCTGCTGTGATGATCGTGCGTGTTGCCTTGGATGTCCATGCCTCCTGGCTGCTGAAACAGTTGCTGCGGCTGAGCCGGTTGGCTGCCCTGAAATGCAATCATGGTGGATCTAGCTAGCTATCTATAGCTGCACAACTGATATTTATGGAGACCCAATGTCGTGATGTCGTGAACCGATTGTTGCGTCTCTGTGCTTCGGTGCTTTGGTTGCATGGCCGCGCTGTGCCATGGCTTTTCAGTGGATCTTTCGTTTTTGGAATATGTTTGGCAAAATTGTAATTTTATAAACGTCAAAATGACAAGATATTTTGACCGCGTATCAACTCAGCCCAGGGCTCAGTCCCAGTCTGGCAACAGATTTCTATGCGCTACGTCCCAGTCTGGCCCATTTTTCAAACGCGCCTTACACAAGATCGATGGTGGATTGCGGAGAGGCGAGAGGAGGGAACATAAAAAAGAGATAGAATCAACAAAAACAAAAACAGCAAACAACACAACAACCAATATGCCCTTTGAAGGATCACTCACCGATTTCTCTGTCCGCCACTTCAGCGGATACATTTGCCTCAAGCCCCAAGTGGGCAATGACCTTAACAAAGTCCACAGCCCCACGGTCATCAACACAGTCTGGAAGAAGTGGGCCATGGCACGCATCACACAACAGAAGCCCCTTGTTGGTATCACAGTTGAAGGTCAGCAATTTTCCGAGGATCCAGTGGTGAAGGTCAATGGGGAGTTGAACTCTTCGCATGATGATTTGAATGATGAGGAGGTGATTGAGACTTTAAAGTCTCTGTTCTGCACCCTGGCCAAGGCCCTCAAACAGACCCAGACCAAGTTCAAGTTCTACGGAGATGACGATAAGTACTCGTGCCAATACAACATCTCCCACTCCAAGAAATCACTTCCTCAATATTGGGGAAGGCTTCGATTATCCAGTTTGTTGGATGACGAAGAACAAGATGAGAACATCGCACAACACATGCAGCTCCCTGGAATGGAACCTCCCAAGGAAGTGAGCCTTGATGACCTGATTGCTTGGTTTAGTCAGATGGGCCCAACAGAGGTTGAATGTTAGGGGGGATTAGCTTATTGGCTTATTAGGGGGGAGCTGCTTGGCAGAACGCCGCTCCATTGCACAGACTCATAAATGAACTTAGAATGACTGTAACATTGAAGAAACTTAGATTGGGTTCCGCTAGAAAAAATGCCGCACTTTCCACGGGTGACCCGACAGAGATTGAAAATTAGCTGGGAATAGCTTGGCAGAACGATGAACAAACTCACAAACAAGGTGGGATAAGCTGTAACATAGAACCATTTGATGAAAACTATGAGTGGGTTCAGGTAGGGATTCTATACATGTACTCTGGTGTAAAGTCCCACCGGGAATATTGGATCGTTACCCTGTTGGGGCCCTTGGATTCTATACTTCTGGTTAGGATTTGGTTGTTAGAGATACTAAGAGGGTTTGTTGTTGTTGCTGTTTCCTGTGGAGGTGAGGTAGGATGTTCCTTCTGCAATCGTGGCAGCTACTTGCCACACTGAGGAGGCATCATTTTCATAGTAGGACCATGTAGCAGATTGCCGGACTTGTGCTCCGCGTTGGGAATTTGGTGACGGCGGTAAAACGGGAACTGGAATGTCTTCTTGCCGTCTGTAACTAGGATACTGACACAATAGGTAGAGTATGATGATTGCATTCAGCCCGAACACACCACCCAAGACAAGCTCGAATATATTATTGTGCTGCCCCACACACATGGATGACATGAGTAGCAGAATGGAAGCCTTTCCAGATGGATGAAAGAGGAGACCAAAATTGTCGCGAAGAAAGGGAGCCTGAACATCTGGTATCCGACTCGCATGTCGTAGGCCAGTATTCAGTATCCAACCATCTGCTGAGCCACCACCATTTGCAGATTGATTCTCATGTTCGAGTTTTTGCTGTTGTCGATGTTGTTTGATGATTTGAGCGATTTCCACTCGCAGTAGGAGGGATGCAAAGAATGCCAGGTAGCAGCCCATTACAAATTTCGCCAAAGCAAAAATGCGAAAAATGGCGACCATAACCTCCAATATAATCACCAGGGAACAAGAAATAATGTTCGACCATTGAAGCGTCTTTAATATTTCGTGCAATGCCATACCCAAAAGTTCACCATGGACCCAATTAGCTTCACCCGTGTTGGGTCGTAGATTAGCGTCACCAAAGCTGCTGTAAACGGCATTTTGATTGTAGTGGGAAATGGTGGGAGTGTAGGAAGAACCGGTTCCTTGCATTGTATCGCGTAGAGGCTGGACGGCATCTTGTTCTTGGTAGGATGGATAAGGAACTGCAGGACCCAGCAACGAGGCCATCTCGCCTCCAGGCGGTGCCGGGGGAGCAGCCGCTGGAGGGGGCGTCTTGGGCTCCAGAGACTGAATTTTGGACCTGCCCATGGTTGCCAAGATTTGCTTGGACAGCACGTCCTACAAACTCAGCCCCAATCAGACTATGGTAGCCTCAATAGAGAGGGAGAAAAAAGCCCTACAAACCTCAGGGCTGCAAAGGACTTGTCTACCTAGGCGCCTTGACCAGCGCTGTGATATCGATGGAAGTACTATAGGCCAGCCTTTGATGTGAACTTTCAGCAAGATGACGGAGTGCAGAAGATACCGTATGATGTCGACAACCCACGAATCCTTGGATCCCTTCATCCCTCGCAGAATGAGGTAATTTTTGGATCCGGAATGAGAAAGCATTATTTGATCTTGGATGCGACTACAAAACGTGACTCAATAAGCTGCATTATTATTATATCATTCCAGGTGGTGCCTCCACGAAAGGCTGAAGGCTTTTCATGGATTGAAGAAGCTATTGAAGGAGGGAATCTGGAAGTTCTGAAATGGGCTCAGCCCGAATGGCTGCCCATGGATACGATTCGGAATGGTGAGAAAAGCTTGCCTCATGCCGCTGAAAGTGGCCCTTGCCTGGCTGCCCCTGTGATGGAGCTACCGGTATAGGTCCCGTACCAGTACGTACCCGGGAAAGGATGCTGAAGGTGGAATGGTGTTGTTGCCTTTGATGAGCTCAATTCTTATTTGAATTTTAGTTCCACAATTCGATTCGAAGGCAGGCTCGGAAATGTGCTTTCAAAGGTTGGATCCACTATGAGGCGATTGCCAGCTGTCCAACATCGTTTCTACTTGACACCGCAGGGTACCGGTACCAGACTACGCTGAGAACGTTGCTTCTGTAACCCCCCACTATACATCTCGTCTGAATCCGTTATTAGACGTTCAGTTTTTTTTGTCAACCCCCCACTATACCGTACATGTAACTATTTCCAAACTATCCGTCGAAACTCCCTTCGGTCTTCATCAGAGTATGGGAACCATCCAAAGAAGTGAATCCAATACAGCTTCAGAGCAGCTTGTAGTGTTTCCTCATTTGGAAATTCCTCGTTGACTGATTTATCCATGATTTCCAGCCACGTAATTGCATATTCCCTGGTCATGCGACTGCTGGTATGCTTTGCCATGACCTTGGGGAGTAAGATACTTTTTCTGGGATTGGATGATCCCATCATGGAGGGACCGCCAAAAACCTCGTGAAACCAGTCGTATTGTCGAAACGCCTGTATCGAAGCGCTACTTGTAAGGCTGATGAATCTATCTTGAAACTCCTTGGGCGTCTCTTTATCGTTCCATATCTTGCCATAAAAGTTTTCAGATAGCTTTTGAATATTGTCGCTTTTTTCGTCGTCCGTATCGCCAGGGAAGAGTGAAAAAATCTGATTGATGGGTACAGCAGGTGCCAAAGAATCTTTGCAGCCTGCAACGTGGACGTCATAATGACAGTCAGGTTCCAGTTGCCACACAGGTTGCTCGCCCTCTTCCAACGCGATTATCTTGCCATTTTCTCGCTCCTTGAGTTCAATTGTCTCGGGTTCTTTGACACCAAAGATAGCGGCAATCGTCTCGGGGGTAGCCTTCAGCTTCGTCACATTCAAGTAAATTTCAGGATTGCAAAAACATGGCTGCTGTTTGTTGGTACTTGCCCAATGCAAATGGACCTGTTCCTTTGGCATGATCAGTTGCTGCTACGGTAATCGATCTACGAGTACGAGTACACTACCTGTCAATTGTCATGATGATCGAGTTTGCTGAACAGAGTTCCCATGGCAGTCACGCAGTCACGACCGTCAAGTCACGGATTCAAAAGTCGGGCAACATTGTCATAATAACTAACAGACACAGAAACGCCACCAAAATTGCTTGCAAATTGCCAGTCACATTTACTTTCACTCGGCCGCAATCGTACCAAAGGCGGAGCCATGCGAAACCCATCAACGAAGCTGGCGAGCTAGAGCTAGCTAGATACTAGATGGACTGGCTAGGTTCTTGTTGATGGTCACGACAGACAAAGGCCCATTCACAGAAGCAAGATAGAGAGAAAGCTACACCACGACCTCAGCAACGAAACCTTGTACCGACTGGACCCGACCTTACAAGGGCACGATCTGGGTTTCGCCCGTTCCCACCAAACCAACTCGGCGACAAATAAAGCACGTAGTTGGCTATCTAGCTAGTTGTTCATCTCATTATATTCAGCCACACGGCAATACAATGTGCAAATCGAACGATAGTAACCTGAAGCCTCTATCTTCCACAATGTTGGAACGTGCTGGATGCCACCTCGTAGAAAGCAACAGGCACCCTCGAGATCCGGTCGACGAGCCCTCTACTACAATGGCCGTCCAGCAGCTAGAGAATAGCATAGAACAGAACATTCAAGCTGCACGGAGATTGCTGGACTACGCCAAGCAACAGGAAGACGGAGACTTCCATCAAGAATCCGAAATTATTGCCTTGCAACCCCATGTGCGAGAACACCTTCAACGGGCAAGCGAGGCTTGTGTGGAATTGAGAGATATGATGATGCTGCTCAACCAGCACGAGGCACAAAACGTGACACCCCTAGCACGGTTTCAATGTGAAATCGAGGGCCTCCGAAAAGAACGAACACTGCTCTACTCTCGGTGCCGAAAACGGCACACCAGCGTTTTGATCAGTTACACAGCTTCCGACGATGAAAACAGCGTCGTCTCCCGACCAACCAGATCCTCCAAGAAGCGAGCCTTCTGGCGCCTCCGAAACGCGAGGAAGCAGCTAAAGCAACATTTTCCCTGCAAATTTATCTAACTAACTGCTATAAACTCTTCTACATGCATGAATGCAATTAAACCTCTTTCTTCTGTTGTCTCTAGCTAGCTATAGCAAGCAATCCCATGCTACCGTACAGTACGATGGTAGCCAAAGCAGGATCCGACTATGCGTGGTTCTCGTGTTCCTGCTCAAGATCCCTGAGCATTGGGATGGTGGAGGCACTCTTGATCTCTTCCGCTACACTAGTGTAGTCTTTGCCCTTTGATCCTCTCAGCCCTCCTCCCTGGCCACCTGCCCTCCTCCTCTGAAACCCATCCGCAGTAGTCCCTCTAACCCATAGCATACATTTACATACATTTACATGTATGATACCGTATTGGTACTGTAGCCCCTCCTGAAACAACTTTCGAACCTTCCAAAGGCATGATGTGTCATTCTTTCGAATAAATCGAATTAGTCAAATCGAATCGATTCGTGTTCGGGACTCACTGCGCACCCTGCCGGCGTTGCGAAAGCTCCAAGGGCTTGGCACGGTGGTTTGGGGGTTGGGGGTCTCCTTTTTGCCGAGATCCGAGTTGCAACAACAGCGGCACCATTGCGGCGGCTCGATCCATGTACAGTGGATTCTCTTTGTTGTTGGTTGTAGATTAGAAGCTCTTTGTCGAGACGTTATTCCGAGGAGCGCTGTTGTGGATCTAGCTAGCTAGTTTGTAGATTCGAAAGAGCGGTAGCTGAAAAGTAACAATCACCATCCACAACAATGGCAAAGACAAAGACCGACGATGAGCTCACGGAGCTCTTGGCAAAGCTGTATGGAATCCAAGAGGACATCGGCGCCAAGCCAAAGTCCAGTCCGGAAGAGAAGAAGGCAAGAGCCGAGAATGTCGTCGTGATGGGTCAAGGGAAGAAGGCGCAGGAGAAAGCCTCCAAATTCTTGCAACTCAAGGGAGACATCGTGGATCGGTTAAAGAGCATCCACCAGATGCTCAAGGACATTAAGGAAAAGGAACAGGCTGGTTTTGGTGGAGATAATGCCAAAGAAATTATCAAGATGCAGGCAGAAGTGCGTGAACAGCTCCGACAAGCCTCCGATGATTGGAAAACGCTCGACGAAATCTACAAAAAGGAGGCCCGCAAAAAGAGATCCAAATTCACTCCAGAGGAGTTGGAAGTCCAGCAAGAACTTGTGCAGCGTCTCTACACAGAAATCGAGAAAGTGAAAGAAGCTCAAATGAAGGGGTACGCTCGTGGTCAACGTGATGCTGCCCCGGGTCTACCAACCAAGTCGCTCTTTATGGACAGTGGTGAGTATTTTATGACAAGCTAGTATTTGGAACGCTTTTGGGGGGTCATGACTCGTTCATTCTATTCCTCTAACAATTTTTCCGATTGGGTGATTTTCTATTGCACTCTTAGCTAACAAGAAGGGAGGACCATCCTGGAAAGGAACGGGTGGTGGTGTTGCCCTAACAGATGGCCAACAGCAACAGCTCCTCCAGATTGAAGAGCGTGATGCCGATTTCGATCGTCAATTGGATGAAATTGGAGAAGGTATTCAAGATTTGGCCGAAATTGCAGAGATGCAGGGCGAAGAAGTGGCCCATCAAACACATATGCTAGAGAACCTCCACACCAAAATTGATGCTGCCAACGAACGTCTTGCTGGGGTCAACACAAAGATGAAGGATACATTGGAGGAAGTTGGCCGATCAAGTGACAAGCTCTGCGTGGATATCATGTGCATTGTGTTGATGATTGGATTTGGTGCGGTGATTTACAACTTTGCGGCTGCCTAAGACGCGATTGTCAGAAAGAAAGAAGCGTAACGTCCCTCCTCTCCTCTTGCCGATTCCTGTCTTCCATTTGACATTTTGCATTGCGTGAACGCAACATTACTGTGCGGCAGATTATTAACATTTCGTAGAGGCTGCCGTATTTAGATTTGGTTTTGTTTTACGAGAGAATGCTAGCTAGTGTTCGAATGATTCGATTCAATCAGTATCCACCGGATAGACTTTCACAAATCTGTCGCTATGCAGCTTGTAGGCGGCGCGCTAAATGAAATTGGGGCTTGGATTACCGACAAGAGCTTTATGCATACTCCTCACAGCTACTGAAGGCATTATTATCCAACGTCCATGCGTCAAAATGATGCGGATGATTTCATCGAGGTCAAGCCAATTTCCTTTTATGCTGGGCCCCACAGCATGAACCTATGCTTTATGGTTAGGGGTGAGTTGCTCCCCTTCATTACAGAAATCTCCCCAACCGCTGGAACCAGTAGCTGAAAGCAAAAGAACAGGTTGAAGGTTGTTGAAGGTGGAAGACGACAAAGAATGAGTTGAAGAAGGTGCTCACTTGGTCAGTCAAATGTGGTCAAAGTCCAACAGATGGCGATTGGCGCCAGGGGACATCAAAGCATGGTTGGCCAATTGGCTCCCAGTGGTGGAAAAGAGCATCAAGCAAAGTGAAACAAAAGGTACCGGCACCAGATGCCGAATCATCCTAGTAACTAGCTGGCAACTAAGCCCATTCAGATCGCATTCTATGCGAGCCCAGTGGAGTCTATTCCCTGGAGGGAGGTTGGTTTTAGAAGCCCCTCCCAGATTCGTGTCTGGCAAGATATTGCCTGGTGCAATCCCCGCAAAGCTGATGGCAGGCAGCTTGGCTGAATTGGCTTCAACATGGTACAGTGGGGTTAGCGGTAGATTTGACATCATCTGAGTGACAGAGTGGAGAGTCATAACATCTGTGACGGCATGTTCGGCACTGCTGGGAGCGGGGTTGAAGAATTTCGAACTCTTTGGATAGCGTAGCTGTGCGCACTTTGAAGTTGGGTGTCTGGAGCTGCCCGGTCACCCCTGGCATAAGCACACAGGACGCCATGGTCATGACAAGGAATAATTGCCCCTGGCTGGGCTTCGTTAAAGCCAATTCGGACAAGATTGAGCTTGGAGAGCCCGGCAGCCCGTGTTGTCATTGGTTTTGTAGCCAGGGTTAGTAGGTTGCTTCAAGATTGAAGCGGAAGAAGGAGTAACATGGTGTACAATCGTTTGATATGGTGCTTTATGTTCTTTAGTGTAGTGTATGTTAATGTATAGCAAGAAGAAGTAGGAGTGATACAAGCATTTTGCTTGATGCAAGATGACTTGGTGGATGGATTGGCAGAACTTTAGTACCCGTGTTCCAAAGCTGTGTCGAAAAAGTGCGCTGTCGGTGTGGGTGCTGCGATCAATGGGCCGCTGTACAGTCAGAACTATTGATCGCCCCCTGCGGATGAGACGTTCCTAGAACAGACATTGTCATGTTCAAGCCCCTTTATTAAAACTCCTCACCGTCAATCAGGTCCAAAACATCCTGGAGCGCAGCTTGCACGGCGTTTATGTCCATTATCGGTTGCTCCTGACGAAGTGCATGAGGTTGCGCTTCAGGGTGTTGGCGTCGAACTTGGCAAGCAGGGCACCCCGTCAAATCCAAGGTATTGATAAGTAGTCGACAGAGGGGTACCCGCAGTTCAGCGCCAATGACGGGTTCTTGCTGGAGACTTCGTTGGCTACTGCCAGAAGCCACAAAAGTGTTGGAGGGAGTGACGGCGGTGCAGTTGGAGCAAGTCATCTTTTGCGCTAAAGAGGAGACGTTTGTGGGTGGCTCGTTTGTTTTTCACTTGCCAGTAAACTGGATTATGAGAGCTTCACGAGGCTGAGAAAAGGACAAAAAATCCTTAGAGGAAACACAAGTTTCAACTATCCTCCTCCTCCTCAAGATCGACGGACGTCATCGGCCAGAGAGGCCGTCACCAGTTCTCATAAATCCCGGCGTTCGTACCTTTTAATTAAATTTCTCCCCGTTTCCTCCGTATTTCGAGAATCTGTGGAATCATAATTGAGGGCGTGTACTTGGCTGGAACGTCCTAGTCTGATGTGGCTCCGAATCTTTCCAGGAGCAGTCTATGCAGAGCCAATCATTGACGTTTCTATCCACCCCTTGTCATTGCTACCCAAATCGATGGACCTGGTTGGCTTGAGAACGATGATGCAAGAGAGGTTGGAGAGGATTCATAACAAGGAATGGAAGTGGAGTCCTTCATGGAAGAGAGACAGAGTAGAAACTGGAATTCAAGTAGCAGGGTCGCCTTATCTCATCTTCCATTCGTCACCAGCAACGGCTGAAATGTTGCATCGCTGGTAGCTGGAAAACGAAGGAGTCAAGCAACTTCAATCAAAGTACTGCTGAAAAATAGATGATGAAGCGTTGAAGTCAAGCTCGCATTCTTGCTTCGTTAAAGGATTTCCCCAAATTCAAGTTTCCCTTTCTGTCGACGCTCTTTTCACATTCTCGATGTGGATACAACCATGGGAAGGACCGTAATTCAGTGGAAGAAGAAGAAGAGTGACGAGTCGTTGGATCTGCAACCAATGATGGCTGAGCTGATGGTTAATATGGCTTAAATCTGTAAGCGTCATTCATCTATCTTTTGGGGAAGATTGCAGTTCTTGTCGGAAGAAGCAAATTGCATTCGAATTCAATCAGTGGATGGAGGTGGGAATCAGAGCATCCAATGATGGTTGGCTGATGGTTGACTGATGGTTGACATGGCTTGACGTCTTTGGGTGAAGATTGCAATTCTTTGGAAGCAGTGCAGCTGATTCAATGGAAGAAACCAAGTTAACTGCAATCATGGTAAAGCTGATGTGGGTGTTGTCTCGAATCTTCATTCATCTCTGGAAAGAGAAAACGGCATTCGAATGGATCCGGGAAGGGGCGGTCACTAAAAATCAAGGATGATCGGTATTGCTTTGCTGTCTTTAATCGTCATTGAGGAGAAGGCGCAACATCCAAGCAGAATGTTGCCCATGGCAGGTCTTGGTGTCTTTCCGTTACTTGCATGGCTAAGAAATCCGAGAAGATATCTGCTGTGCATGTGAACAAACTGCAGAACAATGTACGTACTACTGTTTATAATCCAATGCAGTGGACACCCTGGTAGCACATGGGAGAAGTTGTGGAAGTAAATGAATGTCAGCTCTCCGCTGCTGCCTGTTTTTGGCACCATACAAGGTGCATAGGCAAAGACCATGAAGGTTAGCGTGGTTGAAATGCCACCACAAACAGCAACCTCAACTGTAGGTTTTACTCTCTCAATGCGGTCTGCCGACAGACTGGTCCCTCCGGTTGAAAGCTTCTTCAGTAGAACCAAATAGAAAAGTATAGTTCATAGAACCAAACAGAAAGGTCAGATTGCAATTTCCCTTTTCTTTCCTTGACCTCGATTTCTTTCTCCGAGTTTGGAACCGGTGTCTAATCCTACCGCCGTCTAGAAATGGCCCCACCAGTACAATGGACCGACCAGTACAATCTGTACAAGACACGTCTTTATCACTGCACAGCTCTGCTGTTTGCTTGAATGCTGTTTGCTTGAATAACACTTTGAAACTTTGTACTGGTCGGGGGTCTTTTCTAGCAAAAAAGCTGGCTTTGTGCAACTTTGTACTGGTCGGGCCATTCCTAGCCGTGGGCTACCAGGTAGCTACCGGTAGCTAGTAGGGGTGCAAGAGTAGAGCATCGTGTATGGTCGATAACCCGAGCTCTAGTGGGCCCCCGACATTTCACCCTCAACCCTACCATTCTTATATACATGGCTGTGTCTAAATTCAGTCATGCCAATTTAGACGTTGGGTCAAACTCTGGTTTAGTCTAATCTCGTATTCGACGCCGGCAGGGTCAAAAAAGAAATTTATTTCGCGCCCAGTCTAAAGACTAGAGATATAAGAACGGTACTCATGGCATACCCAATGCTAGGCATTTGTGTCTGGCTTGCTTTATTTCGCCAGTCCATTCTACATGTAGTACTACTAGTACGGTACTAGTGCAATCGTAGCTCCACGATGAGTTTAACACCGGAGCTCACATCCAGAGCTCACACCACCACCAAACAAACTTGACAATGACAACTACTAGTCGCCTCATAGCCAACAGACTGAAATCTCCGCCAAGGAGAGTGCCAGTGGAGAGGGTGTCCATCTCTCCTGGAGGCAGCAGGGTCGCCCATGTTGATGTTGCTGCCATTCGCTCACCCAATGAGGTTGAACTAAACAGTAACTTGGAGCAATCGGTTCTTGAGATGAGAGAGGAGCTCCGGCCTACAAACACACAGAAAGCCCAAGATCCCAAGGTCTGCGAATGGTTCGAATACTGTGATCATGCATACGCAGATGATCCCTACAGATACACATTGTCATATGCCAAAGTCTACAGATTTTTCTATTATCTTTGCTTTCGCGAGCAGAAGCCAAAAGGTTTGACCAAAGCGCAAAGGGCATTGCCTGAAGAACAGCAAACTCATTTCAATCAGGACGAATATGACAAGATTGTTGATCCTAAGAAAGACAGGGCTCAGTGGAGGCTCACCAGGCCAGTGCCAGAGAAGCCAATCAGCCCATCAGTTTTTACTGCTGCACTACGCTAAAAGCTAGTGTAAAGATCTTTCGAGTGTTTTGAGTTTGAGAGAAAAATTATGAGAGGATAGAAAGCTATGAAAATAATCAACGAGAGAGATCACAATCAAGGGATCGTAGATCTGAACTCCCGCGGAGACTTAAAGTGTGATAAGTAGTTGTGGTGGTAATCCTACTCGTTCCACGATCCAAAAACGGAACCGGGAAGATTCTGCTAGCATTTATCTAGTAGCGTGGAATCTCTCCACGCCAGCTAAATATCTAGCCCGATGTTTCACCATCGACTAGTATGACTAGCGTCATGAGAACCTTGTCTCAATGACTATTCACGAGACTCAGTCATGAGTCGAACTCAAACCCTACTAGGATCGAGTCGCGAATAAGGCTAAGAGCCGTGTATGCATTCGCCCCCTGACAAGGGTCACAGAAGGCACGACATCATCGGACAAGGAGAACATATGATTTAAAGGCGGGGCACTCTCAGAATGGATGTAGACATGTGCGTCGCAGATGGCAATCCTACAAGGATCAGGCCTTGTATGGTGTATATACCTTATGTTCCAAGTCTGGTAGACTGTGCCGCCATTGGCGGTAGCATGTTGAGCCGTACAGTGCCATTGTCATTGACTCGTCTATAGTGTAAGGACCTTTGTACTTTGTCTGACCGTACTTGCGGTGCTATACTGTTGAATCTCACGGTATCGTTGACATTGTATTAATGAGGACACGCGTCGCGTTCTTCCTATCGTTGTTCTGTTGGATAGTCGTTGGCGACGTTCCTTGATGTATTTCCAGTTTGCTTCGAAACGGACGTTGTGATCGCGTCACGTGAACACGAGCTGTGCAGGCGTTGCACGCAAGGTGGTATGAATCGTGGCATCATTGCGAAGCGAACCCCGTGAGACTCCATCCCAGGATCCGTTATGAGGTCATCTTGGCACTTGATGTTTTGAACAGCGATCAATTGCGTATGGTCTGATGAGACGCTCGACCATGGAGTTGGCTTGAGGGTTGCGCGTGGTGATGAACTTGCGACGAAGTCCATATTCATCCCGGAGAGTCTTCTCGACCTCTGCGCGGAACCACTTCCCTTCCATGATAACCTAAGCGGCCATGGATACCGAGTAAGCCACGTTTGTTCTAGGACGATGGCTACTTCGTCTGCTGCTTGGAGCAGATCTCTGCAATCTCGAACCATCCGGTTACGGGATCAACATTGTCAAGCAATGAAGTGTACAGGAATTTCTTTTTCTTAGGATCCCCGACGTTGTAAGGGACTTATCAGGTAAATACATAGTCTTTCCCAAGGGATCTCCTCGCAAGTCTTTGGAGGCATCAATCCCAGCTTACGCGTTTGGGTTTGTTCATCTGGCAGCTTTGGCAACGCTGACATACGGCCTGCACAGTCTTGCGCAGTCCTTCCAGTGTGTAGTGTTGGCTGATGGTTAGTGTGCGAGTCTCGCCAGGATGCATCAGCACACCATGGTACATTCACTAGCTTCTTTGCATAGTCTTAGGTCGACGTTATCGCCTTAACTACTAAGTCGTAAGACTATCCCCTCTGGGGAAATATTGCTTCTTGTAGTCTTTTGGCTTGTCCCTGAGGATTTCTTGATATCGTTGTCGTCTTCTGACGATGTTCGACTCAGGGAACGAGAGAGGGAACTCGCTAGGGAGGTCCTCTTCGTCTGCAGCCATGAGCTCACCGATCTCGCTGGCGTCCATTGTTCTTAAGAACATCGTTGTTGGAAGTAATTCTCGACAACGCATCAGCGACGATGTTCTGTCGCCCTTGATGTACCGTAGTCAGGGCCGTATTCTTCCAGTAATAAGGCGCTCATCGTCATTACGACGATCGTATTGAAAGTTCTTACATGTAAGATTCTGTGGTCCGTGTGTAAAATCGATCTTCTGTCCTAGAAGAATGTTACGGAAGTCTTTTAGAGTTCTAACGATAACTGAGTAAAAGTCCTTCTCGGTAACGTTGTAACGTGCGAGCAGGGTTGCTCTGCTTTAGAACGCGATAGGTTTCCCTTCTGGGAAATTCGACCATCTAGTTGACGTATCACTCGCACCGTTGTGGATAACGAATGTATCTGAAGTCAGGGTATGCGAGCAAGGTTTTTTTGCTGTGAATCTTTTCATCTGGCTAAAGGCTTCTTTCGTGTTCGTCTTCCCATTTCCACTTCGTGTGTTTTGGAATCAACGAACGAGTGGGCCAGTAAATGTGATCGTCATTCCACATGTCTCTATAGTATGCTTCACTATCCAATGAATCTA